ATATTTGCTTCAGTTTTAGTGAAATTTTCCATTATCGTTAATTTGCCCAAAGAAAACATATGTTACTTTATGTTTCACTGGAAAAAAAAGATTCTAGAAAAACTCCCCTATAAATCCATAAAAATACTGAAAAAACTGAAAGCGAAAAAGACAGTTCGTTAAGCAATTGGACGGTGACGTTAGCAAATTTCATCCCTTCCAATGCTTAGTGTACCAGATATCGTCAGCAGCCGCAACACTGAGCAAAAAAACTTCTTAAGCAAAGCTAGAAATTAAATTCCTGAAAGCAAAAAAATCTACATGCCACAGTAATGAAGTGCACCCATATTGTTACAATGAACATTCTACCAGGGAAGTTTCCAGGAGAAAACGGATAACCATTGGCTATTAATGTTATCTGACCAACAGCTAAGAACTGTATTATTAACGTTTTTTTCAGGTAAGCTAGATCCTGTTTCAGCCCTGAAACTGGCTGAAACTACGATTACGGTTAATAGATGTTTTATTAGCGAAAACATGACAGCTCAGGGAGCTGGAATTGAACCCTTGACGTTACCGAAATGCAGCCAGATCTCACAGCAAACAATCTTCTTTTCGGATGAAAATCCTCAAAGATACATGCACATGTCTCTTAGGCATCCGGAATTCCCAGCTTATTTCTCAAGCAAATCTCAATATATGAATTATAGGAGTTCTGTCTACAAACAAGAATTAATGGCAGGAGCACAGCCACTCATGGAAAATTAAACTGGAAAAATTGAATGGCATAATTAAGCGATGTGTAGTAACATGAGCTACCGACGGCACTTTTTGCTCCCGATATCAGCAGATTATTTGTAACCACAACAGGAATTGTGTGCAATCATAAATCTGTTGATACGAGGGGCCGCATTTAGAAAAGGACGCTTGTTCAGGCTTCTTCGTTTCGATGCAGAACAACGGGGATAAAGAGTTTTCCTGGATAAAATCTATCAATTCGAGTGCATATTACAAAAACGCCTGCTCCCCAAAGTTGATTATGCGGCGTGGATTCAAATTTCAAATCAAACCAAAGACCATTTCCGACTACTTATGTGAGTAAAACTTTCATGGGTAGTAACAGATTTGCATTACTCATAACTCAACGAACCAATGATTCGCTTATGAAGTAATTCTTGGC